TATACCTTGACATAGTAATCTAGGATCCAGCCTAATGTTAATATAAGGATTCCAAACAGACATATTAGGTTGTAATTTGAATCTGCTTCAGGCTATATAGCTAAATTGGATTTTGAGTGTTCAGAAGTCAGCTCTTTATATACTTTGCTTATGAAATTTTTGGGACATTAAGTAAGGAAAAAATGCAAGAAAAAAAAAGTCACCTTACCGAGTGTGACCTGGGACTTATTTCAGGAATTAAGAAGAAAGGAAAATTTACAGTTTTGAGGTTCTACATTGAATCATATTATGTGAGATAATTAGTGCACGTTTCTGAAATCACAAGAGCCTTTGATTGCAGCAGTAATGCTGGGCCTTGCTAGAATTTTCCCCACAAAAGCAAGAACAACACCGGATAAATTAACTTTGAAAACAAAATTACTTTTTTTAAAAAAAATGCACGGACATACAAGTGGGCTTTCCAGAGAATGAAAATCTTGTTGCAAATATTAATCATCCACAATATTAAGTGAACTGAAATTGCTGCAGGCATTAAAATTGTACTGATAATGGTGCTTCTGGCAAAAATTCAGTGTTCTTGCAAAAAAAAAAAAATAGTCTTTCTCACACCTCCCATGGAGTCCTTTTGTCACTTGAAAAGCAGATCTAGAGGGCTTCCCACATCTTCAGAGCTGATTTGGTAGACACCCCGTGGACTTCAGCAGAGAGATAATTCCATCTCCTGGCTTTTTGGACTTTCCCCATTGAACCAGCGGAAATCCTCAGCTGAATATTCCCCATTAGGTCCACAGTCCAAGTGGTCTGTGATTTACTTGGGTTTTGTGGGGTTTTTTTCCCCCTTCCTTGCGGTGTACTGTATATTCTATAGGTTGGCTGGAGGCAAATTGATGGGCTTTGTTACTGAATGCATTTGGGGCCTATATATTGCAGTGTCTTTGAGTAGTTAAAGGTCCTGAAATTTAGGGGAGGGAAAATACCTGAAACTAATTGCAAGTCAAGGGAAAATGAAATGAATACCATATCAGAAGAAAGTGCCAAAACAGGGCATTTGACATCCGAAACCCCAGTGAAAGTCAAAGCCTCCTTTGGAAACTGGGGAGGGCTTAGATCACTGGTTCTTAACCTTGGGTTACTCAGGAGTTTTGGACTGCAACTCCCAGAAGCCTTCACAGAAAGTGCCAAAACAGGGCATTTGACATCTGGAACCCCAGTGAAAGTCAAAATCTCCTTTGGAAACTGGGGAGGGCTTAGATGAACCTCACCAATTTTCATATAGTTCAAAAGCATCCAAGTAACAAAGGTTAAGAACCACTGGCTTAGATGAACCTCGCCAATTTTCATATATTACTGGCCACCTGACTGAACAGCTATTTACTATATCTACAGTTTGTGATTCTAAACAAGAGTGATTTTCTGTCGAAAAATAATACAACTGCTCCATGCTGAGAGCTAAATTCTGAAACCTCTGAATGCACTACCTTTGGCATAGTTAAAATACTGTTTTTTCTATCATAGTTTCCATGGAGATTATTCAGGTCATTTTAAAAATGCTGACTCAACCATTGGAAAGTGAGGTTAATATGAGAAATGAATGGATATGCTTAAATAGGTTCAATATGTACGGATGAGGCCTAAATGCTTATGTATATCTCAGAGAGAGGAGGGGAGGAACTGGAGTATTAGGAGACTGTAATTTTTTAGTAAGTGGAATCAAGATTGCTTGCTGGTTACAGGTCCTGTATGATTTTTCCACTTTTCTGACTACAAGCCAGAGCCCACCAGCTAAAGCAGTTGTCCAAGGGAAGCTTAGGCAGGCAGGTAGAGTTGAGTTGCAGGTTCAGAACCTTGGATAGCTCCAGGAAGGCAACAGAACTAGTCCGTTTCATTTATCCTGGGTCACACTATCACTCCAGGCTCCCCAAGCTTTTCTAAAGAGTAGAAAATATTGATGTGAATCTGAGCTTGTGTTAGCCCTGTAGTCAAGAACAAGGCACTGGCAAATTCTTCTTGCCTGCAAGGGTTGGCACCTGATCCCCTTAAATTGCCTTTGCAATTGGGAGAAATCTTTGTGCAACCATTTTGCAATTTGTGCAAATTAATTGCACAAATTGGCATCTTTCATCCTGTAAACTAGCCTTGTGTGCTTGCTATATATATGTCCACTCCTTTCCAAGGGGAAAGGATTTTGCAAAGAATGTAGGCTGTGAAATTGTCTTGCCTTGGCAGAAGGCAAGACTTCTCCTCTACCTCTCCAGTTCCCCCGTGAAGTGTCTGCTTGCATTGCAAGAGCCAAAATTAGCAAGGACAAGGAATTTTGTAGATATTTCTTTCATCCTTAATTGAGAGTTTTGAACCTGTAGTCCTCTGGCCTGGAGTCTAGCACTCTTGTCACCTCTGTGTAAACTTCTACCTGATTATCTTGTTTGCACCTCTCTCTCTCTTGTCAGCCTGGTCCCCTGGTATAAAAGACTGTGTTTGGCCTTATAGGGGAAGCTGGCTGCCCATTTCTGAGGATCCACATTCAGGAGATAGTTGGGCATCAGTTCTGGCTGCAGCTCATTAGTGAACCCTGAGTTCCATGCTTCTTGTGGATTGATTCTCCCCATATGTATCAGAGTCTAGCTCAGGCATGAAACCACAGCACCGTTGGAATCTTTTGCTACTGAGTAGGAGCAAGCAGTACTGGGGCATCCATTGGATTGCTACAGGTTCTCCCTTGGCTATTTGCAAATTTATTTCCTGTGTTCTAAACTGTAGCTGACTTGAATTGTGTGTGTCCACCACAGGAAAGCTTGTAGCATATAAAACAGGTAATCACCTTTTAGGATGTGTTGCTGGGATTTGGTGTCCTTTACTGGTTTTCTAAAAGCGTGTGCTTTAAAAAAGACAAAAACAAAGCTAGAACGAATTAAGTGTAAAACAAAGGAGAAAGTGATGCATGATGTCTAGTGGTAACGTTTGCTCCCAAAGTATCAGTCCTTTGGGAAGAATATATTCTTATGTAAATGTCTGATAAGGAACCTTTATTTTTATTTTACATGTATATATGAAAAAATATATGAAAAATATGAGCATAAAATATGGGCCTGTAGTGCATGAAAATCCAATACAGAAACTGAAATGTATTTTTCTATTTATCCAAACTGCACTTGGATTCATGGGCCTGCCTCCTATGATTGACGAGGACATTATTATAGGACATGTGCCTACAAGGATTTTAAAGGCCTTCATTCATTCTCACAGACCATGTGGCATCTTGATCTACTGCCTATATTACACAGCTGATGTTGAAAATGATGGTCTCATTGTAGACGGCACTGCCCAGACTGGGAAATGATATCTGTTGGTTCACAATACATCACTGTCTTCTTGTATTTTGTCTTAAACTGCTGAGAACCACCGTAGTTGTATGCAAGCCTCACTAAACACCTTGTAAGGCTAGGGTCTGAAGTGGTGGATGAGGTCCACAAATTCTCGGGAGCTGCAGAAAGAGTGCCAGGGAAGCTGATAAAAAAGTAATCAAAGGAAAATTAATGGAGAGAATCGGGGTTTGCCTGATCTGGGTAGTAAGCATAAAAGTGAACTGAAACTAGCCCAGGAATTTAGTGGATTGCATCCACAGAAATGCCGAAGGCAGGAAGGTGCTATTGCACTCATGGCCAACCATAGTTATCTGGGTGTCCACTGTGGGGACATAATGCCAAACTAGATAACGTATCCATCACAGTTTTCTTCTGATCTCATGATCTTACAACTGGGGTGCAAGGGACTGCCTGACAAGTCAAGAGAGAACAAATGCCAATAAATTAAAGATCAGCCATAGAACAGATGGCCAAGTAGACTGCTACACAAGCAAAGACTGTGCCTGGTTTAGAAGCTATTATCACATGCATTATCAGCCTGCAGTTAGTGGACATAAAAGGGCATGGGTCTTCAAATGGAGTCCTTGGGGACAATTCCCTGTTTTAAGAGTGTTTCAAAAATTGACTTTCCAAAATAAGGTTTCTGAATTAGATTCCCTGTTATTTATGATAAGATGAATACATTGGACAATGGGCAAAGTGGACAGAAGCTGATCTCCCTATGTAAAATAAGATATTTGTTGAGGTCTAAAAAGGCCTGTGTATGCATTGTGTGTGTGTTGAGGTGGTGCGTGTGCGTGTGTGTGTGTGTGTGTTCCCTTCAGTTTAATTGCAGGGTGTTGAGGTATGGGAAACTCCCTCTGGCATGGAACTGCTGTATGAGCTGAGTCTTATGAAATAGTGGAAGAGATATCAAGCTTGTATTTGGACTGTGGTAAACATGTACAGGCCTAAAATGGAAGTATATAATGCAACAGATATTGGTCATGGTTTGGACATAACAAATGGCTATCCCTTACACATTGCAGGAGCTCATGTGTATTCCCACTATGGTATGCACTTCATATTGTCTCCTGCTGACAATCATCCCGGTGTGCTGTATCTCCTGGACAAGTTCAACAAAGCAGGAATAACATCTACAGGGAATCTGATTAGTAATACAGAAAAACTGTTCTGTAATAGCATTTGGTTCATGTTTTGAAATTGTTCCATATACTGTAGCATCTTAGTTTTCATTCCTTTATGATGGCATTCCTGTAAAAGAATGCTTTATCCACCTGATCCCTGAAATCATTAACCATGATTAATATTTTAATGTTTACTACTGGATGTGTTGCTAATGGTGAGGCACTAACTACATAACCATGGCATAATTCAATATTACAGTGATATTTTAATGGGCTCACTCATGACTGTACAGCTAACCACATGAATGCTTAAGTGTTCGTTCAGATTAAAAGGAACACCAGAGAGAGTTAATAATTAGTTTCTCCCATTAACACACTCTTTTCTTAGGGATGTCCCTAAGCATTTCATGAAAAGCGTCTCTCTTTTTTAGTTAAGCAGAAATTAAATATCTCATTATTTCACTGGTGACAGATGGCTGTTTAATGACAGTGTTGTGTTCTGTTTTTTTAGATCTTGGTGGAAGGTACTGTTGGAGATGGCTTCACTGGAGATATTGGAATTGATGACCTCTCTTTTATGGACTGTACACTTTATAATGGTAAGGATAAATGCAGACTTGAATCATGAGTGTAATCAATTTTGTGAGTGTAGTCCTTTTGAGGGTTGAAATTAGCAAATGAAGTTCCGTTTCCAGTCCTATATTGCTCAGAAGTACAAATGAACTAAGACAACTAGTCCATCTTACCGTTTGACGCAGGAAGTGCAGAACTAGAGCAGCCCCTGATTCTTCTTGAAAAGATGTAGAGATTTCTGTAATTAGTTCGGTTGTCAAAGTGCTCTGGCTAGTGAAAGACTCAATAGAGAACAAGGCTTCCCTCTTCTATGTAACACTCTTTCTGATACTTGGACAGTACAGTCACATCCTTCCTGAATTGTCTTTCCCCCTCATATTAAATGTACCCGGTATTTCTACTTTTCATTATAGGTTCTGTATGCCACACTATTGACAATCCATCATGTTCTACTTCACTCAAACCATATTCCATTTCTGGAACCCAAGGTAGCTAGCAGTAGCTAGATTTGCAGGGGGTCTAAGGTCCTAAGGAATTGGTATAAGCCAAACAACAGTAAATAAAGAAGTAATGGTAAGAACTATTTGTGGAGGACTTCCAGCAGCAGTAAGAACTCTTAATTACTAAGCAGATACTCATTAAATGCCATCCACTGGATTCATATTCAGTCATCGCATGCACCTGTTAAAAGCAATGGGATAAGATAGCAATGACTTGCAAATTTAATTGATTTCAGTAGTTCTCCTTTAAGTCTGACTAAACCTAGATTCAAACCAAAGATGTACTGTGCCTCTTTTTCACATGAAGATCCTGATATGAGTTTTGGCTTAAAATTGTTGACCATTTCTGATAACAATGTCACTACAGACAGCCTTGAGGCTTTTTCATGCTCGCTGTGCTTAGTGTGAGGAGGTATGGTTGACATTGAAACTGAGAAATAAGCAGGAAATCTGCCTTTTTATTTCCTGCAAGATGTACGTAGCTCTTTCACATCACTTGCTAGCTGAGATTTTTAAGCTGAAGGATTGAATCCAAGAACTTGCACAGGCCTTCTAAACAGGCTGTGAGAAAGAGGCAGTGCATTTACACAGAGTCCTTGCTTTATGAGATAGTCCATAAAAACATCAGCCGTAGATATGAAACAAGAAAGTAGTGCATCAGTCAATTGGTGAGACAGATCAAAGCTACTCTACAGGTATCTCATATGCGGAAGAGATAAGAGATGAAACTTGAGAAACTCCTAATGGATAGCTCATTAACCACAGCTCTTTGCATCTTCGTCAGGAACTTTGCCAGTCGGTGTGATAACTCCATCAGGGACATCTGTTCCTGTGACGCTACCAATGAATAACTGTACAGAAAAGGAATTTGTCTGCAGAGCCACTGGCCAGTGCATCAACATAATCCAGCGATGTGATTTCCGACCTGATTGTTCTGACAAATCTGATGAGTCATTTTGTGGTGAGTAAATTAAATTTTTGTTGTTGTTTCAACTTCTATACCACTATATAGTGCTACAGTACTCTCTGGGCAGTTTACAACATAATTATAGAGGAACAATAAGGTGAGTACTCATTTTACCAACCTCAGAAGGATGGAAGGCTGAGTTAACCTTGAGCAGACTACCAGAATCTGTTGGATTAAAATCAGGTCATGAAGCAAAGGCTTGATTGCAGTACTACATTTAACCAATGCACCACAGGGCTTGCTACTGCTGGGTGTTACAATTACAGTGGTGCTCCGCTTGACGATTACCTCGTTAGATGAGGAAATCGCTTGACGACTAGTTTTTTGCTTTTTTATTGCTATTGGGTTTTTTCACTTCATTATATGGCATATGCAGCTATCATTCTCTGTTTCAGATGCCACATGCAAGTGACAATCCTTATACAGCCAATGATTTCCTATGCACAAGAGGAAATTATTAATATTATGGCTCCCCGCTGTGTTTTAGGATGGATTCTTCTCAAGACAGGTAGCAGAAAATGGCTGCCCTATGGAGGATCTTTGCTGGAAGCTGAGGTATTTCATCCATTGGAATGCATTAACTGGGTTTTAATGCATTTCAATGGGCTTTTTTTTATTTTGCTTGATGAGGATTTAGTTCTACAGTGATTTCGCTGGAACGGATCATCCTCGTCAAGTGAGGCACCACTGTACATTGAACAGACTGCTTCTTTCCATGATGCAGATTGCTCTTCTGTATTCACACCTCAGAATTGTCTTTACACGCATTTGCTCCATCTCAGAAAACCTTCTGTTTTATTTTATCACTCAAAGATACTTGTGTGCTATTCAGTATGATGCTGGGATCTGACACCATCAGTTCCCATTTTAAGGTGGTTTGGAAGAAATGCCTTGCAGTGTGCATTGTTCTTACTTCTTATTTTAAAAGTAAACACGGTTGTTTTAAATGTAAGAAACACCTAATAATTGCCAAGCTATCCCCTCCATTCATTGGCATGAAAAAAACATGGAAATTAGAAATAAAGTGAAAATTCACCATAGGGCTGTAAACATGTGACATTATGTCAAGTAGCTTGGTTTTATATAAAAGATATCCCTGCTAGACCATTATGTAGTCATTGTTAATTGTATCATACTAGAAAGGATTAATTGAACTGCTGCTTACCAGAAACGTCTGCCTAAACTCTTTAGCGTGCATAGCACACGTTAGGACTCAGTGGTCCAATAATAGTGAAAGAATTAATTGCATTTACCAAGTTTAATTTTTTATTAGATACTGTGGCCAATGATGTTTTCAAAACCTTATGAGATTACAGAGCTTTCTGAAGGTTATTATAACATATTGGCAGTGGAGTTTCTGAGAGATGTGATGGACAGGTTCATGTTGGTGGTGGTATCTGGGCTCAAATCTTTGGAAAGATTTGAAGCTAGTCTTTGCTGTTGACTGTTTCAAGCTAAACATCTAATAAAGTTAGAAGAAAAAAGTTGCAAAGACCATCTTAAGATTATGTATCCATACAGTCGTGCCCCGCTGGACAATTACCCTGCTCTACGACGAATCCGCTTTACGTTGCTGTTTTTGTGATCATTTTTGCGATCGCAAAACGATGTTTTAAATGGGGTTTTTTCGCTGTGTGATGATCAGTTCCCTGCTTTGGGAACCGATTTTCACTTTACGACGATCAGCAAATAGCTGATAGTCGGGTTTCAAAATGGCCGTCGGCTGAAGAAAATGGCCCCCTGCTGTTTTCTAGGATGGATTCCTCGCTTTACAGGCACCGAAAATGGCCGCCCTATGGAGGATCTTCTCTGGACGAGCAGGTATTCAGCCCATTGGAATGCATTGAACGGTTTTCAATGCGTTTCAATGGGTTTTTTTATTTCATTTGATGACGGTTTCGCTTTACAGCAATTTTGCTGGAACGAATTAACGTCGTCAAGTGAGGCACCACTGTATTTGGAAAAAGATAAGCTTGGGTCTTTTTTTCTGCTTCTGAAACTGAAGCCAAGAGATCCCAGAAAAACCCTAGGTTTCTTAGATTTCTCACACATATCCTAATATGTGTTAGAAAGTGCATCATTCATTTTCAGAACCACAACAGTGACATCTCTAAGGATAATGTGGGAATTTTTCTGGGATCTCATTATATGGCATATGCAGCTATCATTCTCTCTGTCTCAGATGCCACAAGCGAGTGGCAATCCTTATACAGCCAAAGATTTCCCACGCACAAGAGGAAATTATTAATATTAGCTAGAGTGGTCGAAATGACTAGATAGGCGGGGTATAAATACAATTAATGAATGAATGAATGAATGAATGAATGAAGGAATGAATTAATGAATTAATGAATGAATGAATGAATGAATGAATGAATGAATGAATGAAGCTATCTCAGCTGAGCTTTGAGCTTTGCAGAGATACTGTTCCCAAAAATGCTAGAGGGTTAAAATAGACAAAGAAACCCTAAAGTATGGGATCCCCAAAAGAGCCCAGTGTGGACTGAAGGTTGAGGGAAATAATGGCAAGAAAGGGAATGAATCATCTGGAGAAAGACATTATATCTATTTCCAGGTTACACGTTTTACCCATCAATTTAAAACTTGCTTATACTATGGAAACATACCTTGTTGTGATCTGGAACACTGAGAGTCATGGAAAGCAAGCAGAGAAAATGTATTGAATCCTTTCAAAGAAAGAATGTCCCAGATGCCTAATTAGCTCTTCAGTTTTGCATTGTTCTATATAATGCCAATGTTCTTTTCTCTCTTCCTTCAATAGCATCTGACGCTTGTAACTTTGAGCATGGAGACTTCTGTGAATGGTATCAACCTCCTGCCACAGTGGCAACAAAAAATTCAGCCCATACTGCTCATGTGTTCCAGTGGGCCCCTGGAAAAGGAGCAGGCATCCACCCAGGAGAGGAGAATCATAGACCATTAACAGACCATACTACGTGAGTGCAGTTCCCAAATATATATGCCTCTCTCTTTCTTTTTCGAATGTGAAGATTCAAGTAAGCAGAAACCTATTTTAACACGATTGTGCAGCTGGTTTGGTCCACTTAGTGTAGGTGAGCTAGATCATTCTAAACCAAGGACTGAAAATATAATGTAGTGTGGGTCTGTTCCATTTGACACAACTCCGGGAGGCAGTAGAAGATAGGAGGGCCTGGCATGCTCTGGTCCATGGGGCCACGAAGAGTCGGACACGACTAAACGACTAAACGAACGAACGAACGTGGGTCTGTTCCACATGCTCTAAATAGCATCAATGCAATCTAAACCAAGGACTGAAAATATAATGTAGTGGGGGGTCTGTTCCACATGCTCTAAATAGTATCAGTGCAATTTATGAAAGAAATAAGGGTCATTAGTAGAACCAGTTATTAGTACATTGGCTCTCTCACACTGCTATTTTAATTTTTCTTTTAACAGAAATGTAACAGACTGGTGGTGGGCAAAGTGAAGTCTGAGAGATGCATGCAGACAGTTAGGGCCCATATTTGGCCCTCAACATGACTGGGGGGAAAAAACCACACAATTTTTGATCAAAAAGTTCCTTTGTGCCGTCTAGGGAATTTTGCCCTGTTTGGGAGTCCTCTCAAAATAAATAAATAAAACTCGAATGCCAATGCAAGTAAAAATAAAAATACAAATTGGCCATGAGAAGGCATAAGTGGGCGTGCCCTGTTTTAAAAAAACAAATAATTTTTTTGAATATAAAAATTTATTTGTGCTACACCAATGTAATTAGATAAGAGGATTTGGGCCACTATGTCAGAAGAGAGGCTACTGTTTTCCCCAGAGTGCCTCATGCAGGCAAAAAGAAGGTACTGACTAATTTGCTGTGGAATCATTATGCAATCCTAGGTCTCCGGATGTGGAGATTCATTTCATTGGCTTCTGGTTTTAAAAAGGGAAAAACAGAGTTTAATTGCCTGTTTTGTTACATTCAATAAGAATTACATGTGCTTACTTTATGTACAAATGTGAAATCTGGTAATTATCTGTAAACCAAGTAATGACTCATGGAATCATTTAAGATCAATTGAAAGGATGGCCCACTCACATGAAGCGATTTTACTGCCAACTGAAATTGTAAAAACTTTTATATGGCTCCAAAATGTTATGTTAGAGTGGGCATCTCAATGTTGCTCTTTCACAAGAGACTCCGGAATATTTACTTTCTCAGATAGACTCTGTTAGGATATTAGATGAATATCACTGTTGAAAAATTGTGAAGTGTTATGTCTGGAGATGATTTGGGATGATGGTCAAAAGCTGTGCTTCCTAGGTGTCATATAATCTTATGCTCTTACCGAGCAGAAGAAATTGAAACTTGTAAAGGGTTTTCCAAGTGAAACACACACACACACTATCATTTCATATTGCACCAAGCCACAAAAGACTTGCAAAGCTGTAAATAAATCATGCCAACTGTGATTAGACACTGTGCCGGTACGTCTGCTTCCGTCTTTATTACTTGAGAGTGAGATTCTGTCCCATTGTTTCATATGCCTTCCAAGCCTAGAGGATTTATGATGGAATGTTAATGAGATGCATTCTGTTTTGGGTGAGCCACAGAAGAATTGAGAATTAATTTCAACTCTGTCAGAAGCAGGCAAACTTGAAGCAACAAAAATGAAAACAGAGAAGCACAGATCCTGCAGAGAAATTTTAACTTGTGTTTGTAATAGCAGAATTATAGCAAAAATATGGAACTCTTTGTCTCTGGTGCACTTTGATCTAAAGATTATTAGTTGTGCTGTTTTTAATCAAGACATGAGAAATCTGAGAACTTCTATATTATCAAGGGGGAAAAGGGGAGTTAAAATGGGTAAAATCAAAGATATTGTGAAAGAAACAGGGACAATATTAGTTACTATTCAATCTTGGCTCACTTGTTTAACTGTAAGAGATGGGCTAAAATTAAAATTTGAATCACCAAACTTATTTTAAAAATTGCTAATTCATTGAGTTGTATCCACACAAATCAGTGCCCCCAATGAATCATGAATCAATGCATTTTTAGCAATCTTTGATTTGCTGATTCATTTGGTTATAAAATGGTCCCACCTAGAGACACCAATATTTCAGGGAAGCATCCTCTGACTCTCTCTACAATCCCACCAAGTTTGGTGAAAATTGGGTTTCAGATGTCAGAGTTAAGCACCCACAATGAGCCCCTCCAGAAAAGTTCCCCCCAGGCACCTAGAGACATCAAAATCACAGAAAGGCTTCTCCTGACTCTCCTCTATGATCCCTCCACATTTGGTGGAGACTGGGTTTCCCCAAGCCAGCTGCTAAAGGGCACTTTCCTGGTGGACTCACTTTGTAAGTGTATAATAGAGATTAGAGTATTTGTATATGAATATTCCTCCAACAGGTGGAAATAACAAGAGTCTGGCCCCATGGAGCCAGACTGTCCACTCACCATTCTGCTGCTGACACGAGCTCACCGGAGCCTTCCTATCGTGCTGTTGTCTGCAATGGACTAGCCACTCTGCAACCCGGCAGAGAGGCTCGTCATCCCGCCTCCTGCCAGGAGTGGCTAATCTATTGCGGACAATGGCGTGATAGGAAGGCTCCGTTGAGCTCATGTAAGTGGCAGAAAGGTGAGTGGACATTCCCTCATTATTTCCACCTGTGAATGCCCCCATCTCCAGTGTGGCTCCGTTGAGCTCATGTAAGTGGCAGAATGGTGAGTGGACATTCCCTCGTTATTTCCACCTGTGAGGGGGTATTTGTATACGTATATAAATACCCCCATCTCTAGTGTGTAACTTGGATGTCTGATATCCGGTCTTCACTAAACATGGAGAGATTGTAGAGAAGAATCAGTAGAAGTATCTCTGTTATTTTTGTGTCTCTAAGTGCCGGGGGTCTTTCCTGGGGAACCCACTTTGTGGGTGTATAATTCAGATGTGTGAAACCCAACCATCACCAAAGTTGCAGCGCTTGTAGAGGAGCGTCAGGGGAAGCTTCCCTGTGAATTTGGTATCTCTAGGTGCATGGGGGTATTTTATAGGGTTTTAAAGAAAAAAATTAATTGACAAATTTATTAATCAAATCATCAGAAAAAAAATCATAAATTTGTAATCATGATTCGTTGACCTCAACAAATCATTAATCAAAATGAATCACCATTTTTTCTGATTCGTGCCCATCACTAACCATAATATATCTCATTTGACTTCCATCCAATTTGCTCCATAATGCTCTGTTGTTTTAAAAGTATGCTTCTGGAAGGCTTTTTATATTTACTCAAGTTTCAAGGCCACTTCTATAGCAAAGAATCTCAGAAGTGGTAGCAGTTATTTTAAAACTTGCACATTCAACATACTAAAAAAAGAGAAATAATCACGTAGTTGAAAGTTGGCTTGTTCCTCCCCCCCTTTTTTTTTTAATGTAATAGTTTAAGAGACAAGATATTTTAAGAATTGGAAAAGTTTGCCTTTTTTGGTAGTGGGAATTCTAATGATAAAGCAAAGCTTGAATTTTATGAATATTTTTTTGCCGAATGCTGCCGAACGTCCATGTTGCTTATTGGATTGTGACTGCTTATGGCAAAATATGCCAGTGTCAGAACCTGATTTGAACTAACACCAGTATTCTCAAAATGAGCTGAAGTCCCCCTTGTCCCGGTGCTGGAAGTCTTGAATCTATTTCTGGTAGGTGAGTGGGACATTTTGCGAAGTAAGATTATATGATTGCAGTCTCAGGTTAACTTGAGAAATTGCCCTTTCACAGTTAATTATGTTGTTGCTGATTAAATGGTAATTATCCTAGTCTCAAAGGGCTCTAACTCCTGTGGCATTGATTCAGCACTCCAACACTAAGACAAAGGCAAGAGGCTCCTTATCGTGGGAGAGAAAGCACCATTTTACTTCATGTGTGGAAATAGGTTCATATTGAACTTTCTAATTTCCTTATCTTTCATTTGGAGAAGCTGTCTTCTGGCTTTCAAGACTGAATGGCTCTGGATTATTGTGCTCTATGTTTTCAAAAGGGAGAAAAAGCACATTGAGAGACACAAAGCATTTTCCTACATACAACCCAGATAGGTGAATGAAGTTACACATGGAAGAGAGGACCTTACCTAAGGCTCAGTGAAGATTTTTCTTGGCCATTCCTCAGCCCAGTAAGCTTATACTTTTGTGCATGATGGGATTCTGATGTACATCTTTGATGTTCAGTCTTTTTGGTCTTCTAAGAAGGATGATGAACCTGGCCCATATGTAAGAAGCCATAGTCTGAGTAGATATATGGAAAGCATGTATGGCCCTCCTATTATAAAAATGACTTCCAGAGTTTAGATGTTCATGGGGATTCAAACCCAGCTCTCCTTAGTCCTAGTACATTGCTTTATCTACTAGACCATGCTGGGTTCCAGCAGCACTTTACAGATGGAAAAATAATCTCCTCAGTGTATAATGTGCCTCTGTCAATCTCAAATTCATTTCTGGGCAACAACAAATGCCTAAACTTGGTGGTGTCTAAAAGAAGCCAAAACAACAAGACTTCTAAGTCAGAGGCTGAAAATCATAGATTGAGCCATATTTAAACTGTAAAAACAGTATTAAATTCCATTGGGTGTACGTTTGTGTTTGCAATTTTGCTTTTGAGTATGGGTGAGTGGGTGAATGAAAGCATAAACATTTTTCATTGTCTTGTGTTTATGTTGGCCGCTTTAGGGTGGAATGTGCTGACAGTCTATGTATTTTCTTGGAGAAACATCTCACAGACGTAGCATGAAATTAATGGCAATGCATTCAAATGACACTTTGGGAAACCAAGATCATAAACATTACTCAAGAATATTCCTATAATGTAGTGTTTGAATCTGTGCAGAGGAAATGGGTTTTGTGTGATTTTTCTGCCACACCACGTGCTGTTTTTCAGAAGTATTCACTTTGAAAGTATGTACAGTCTCTTTCTATGGGTCTGAATACGA